CCTCAGCCTCAGCCTGCCTCAGCCTCAGCCTGCCTCAGCCTCAGCCTCAGCCTGCTTCAGCCTCAGCTTCAGTCTGCCTTCAGCCTCGGCGTCAGCCTCAGGCTGCTCAGCCTCAGCCTGCATCAGCCTCAGCCTCAGCCTCAGCCTGCCTCAGCATCAGCCTGCCTCAGCCTCAGCCTCAGCCTGCCTCAGCCTCAGCCTCAGCCTGCTTCAGCCTCAGCCTCAGTCTGCCTTCAGCCTCGGCCTCAGCCTCAGCCTGCCTCATCCTCAGCCTGCCTCAGCCTCAGCATCAGCCTGCCTCAGCATTCAAAGTGTGGCCCGGGAATGGAGTTCTGGGAACTGGAAGAACACGAAGTGGCCTACAGTTGGCTCCGGGCATTCAAAATCATGCCCAGGAATGGAGTTCTGGGAACTCGAAGACCACGAAGTGGCCTACAGTTGGCTCCGGGCATCCAAAATGTGGCCCGGGAATGGAGTTCTGGGAACTCGAAGACCACGAAGTGGCCTACAGTTGGCTCCGGGCATCCAAATGTGGCCCGGGAATGGAGTTCTGGGAACTCGAAGACCACGAAGTGGCCTACAGTTGGCTCCGGGCATTCAAAATGTGGCCCGGGAATGGAGTTCTGGGAACTCGAAGACCACGAAGTGGCCTACCGTTGGCTCCGGGCATCCAAAATGTGCCCGGGAATGGAGTTCTGGGAAGTCGAAGAGCACGAAGTGGCCTACAGTTGGCTCCGGGCATTCAGAATGTGGCCCGGGAATGGAGTTCTGGGAGGTCGAAGAGCACGAAGTGTGTGACTGTTGGCTTAAAACGACTTCTGCGGCACCCTGTCCGGCACCCGCCCAGACCCCCCTGTGGAGTCATTTGCTGCTCTCTTTTGACCCCACTAGAAACCTATCAGAACAAGCTGTTAGGTAAATATCTAAATTTGGCCTCTCGGAGCACTCGCCGGGCTGCTGTTTGAACCTTCTTGGGCCGTCTGGAACCTCTGGAAGCCGTCTTCAGGGCAGCTCGGGGCAGTCTTGGTCCGTCGGGACGGCTGTCTGATCGGCCTGGGACCTGTGTGGCCGCCCCCAACAGCGGGCCCTGGCCCCGAAGAGAGAGGTGCATGGGCAGGAAAAGTAAGCGCCGACGCTGCCGCCGCCAGGCACTGTGAAACTATGAAGCCACCCAGCGTCGCCAGTTCCACGGGCAGGTGGTCTCTAATTATCCCGGCAAAGCAACCTAACAGCCATGTGTAGGAGCCGGCCGGGGCAGCCGGCCGCCCTCCCCTCCTGCTCGTCCTCCTCCTCCTCCTGCTCGTCCTCGTGCTCCTCCTGCTCGTCCTCTTTCTCCTGCTCCTCCTCCTCCTCCTCCTCCTCCTCCTCCTCATTTTTCTCCTGCTGCTCCTCCTCCTCCTCCTCCTCCTCCTCCTCTTCCTCCTGCTCGTCCTCGTTCTCGTCCTCCTCGTCTTGCTCGTCCTCCTCCTCCTGGTGCTCTCTCCTCCTCCTCCTCCTCCTCCTCCTCCTCCTCCTCCTCCTCCTCCTGGTGGTCCTCGTTCTCCTTCTCCTGGTGCTCTCCCCCCCCTCCTCCTCCTCGTCCTCCTCCTCCTCCTCCTCCTCGTCCTCCTCCTCCTCTTCCTCCTCCTCCTCCTCCTCCTCCTCCTTCTCCTCCTCCTCCTCCTCCTCCTCCTGGTAGTCCTCCCCCTCCCCTCCTCCTCCTCCTCCTCCTCCTCTTCCTGGTCGCCCTCGTTCTCGTCCTCCTCGTCTTGCTCGTCCTCCTCCTCCTGGTGTTCTCTCCTCCTCCTCCTCCTCCTCCTCCCTCCTCCTCCTCCCCTCCTCCTCCTGAGGTGGTCCTCGTTCTCCTTCTCCTGGTGCTCTCCCCCCCCCTCCTCCTCCTCCTCCTCGTCCTCGTCCTCCTCCTCCTCCTCCTCCTCCTCCTCTTCATCCTCCTCCTCCTCCTCCTCCTCCTCCTCCTCCTCCTCCTCCTCCTCCTCCTCCTCCTCCTCCTCCTGGTAGTCCTCCCCCTCCCCTCCTCCTCCTCCTCCTCCTCCTCTTCCTGGTCGTCCTCCTCCTCCTGGTCGTCCTCCTCCTCCTGCTCGTCCTCCTCCTCCTCCTGCTCGTCCTTCGTCTCCTGCTCCTCCTGCTCCTCGTCCTGCTCCTGCTCGTCCTCGTCCTCCTGGTCTTGCTCGTCCTCCTCCTCGTCGTGCTCTTGCCCCTGCTGAAAGTGTGGTCCAGGAATGGGAGTTCTGGGAAGTCGAAGAGCACGAAGTGGCCTACAGTTGGCTACGGGCATCCAAAATCTGGCCCGGGAATGGAATTCTGGGAACTCGAAGACCACGAAGTGGCCTACAGTTGGCTCCGGGCATCCAAAATCTGGCCCGGGAATGGAGTTCTGGGAACTCGAAGAGCACGAAGTGGCCTACAATTGGCTCCGGGCATTCAATATGTGGCCCGGGAATGGAGTTCTGGGGACTCGAAGACCACGAAGTGGCCTACAGTTGGCTCCGGGCATTCAAAATGTGGCCCGGGAATGGAGTTCTGGGAAGTCGAAGAGCACGAAGTGGCCTACAGTTGGCTCCGGGCATTCAGAATGTGGCCCGGGAATGGAGTTCTGGGAAGTCGAAGAGCACGAAGTGTGTGACTGTTGGCTTAAAATGAATTCTGCGGCACCCTGTCCGGCACCCGCCCAGACCCCCCTGTGGAGTGATCTGTGAGCTCTTTTGAGTCAACTAGAAACCTATCAGTCTTCGCTGTTAGGTAAAAATCTGTTCGTGCAAGCCCTTCTCGCCAAATTTTCGGGCCCCGGGCCTGCTCCCCCGGCCCCAGCGACAAGGGTCGCTGCCGCTCCACCCATTGACAGAGACAAAGAAAACATATGCCAATCAGGCGGCGTCCCAGGAACGGTCTCAGGTTTTTGGACCCGAGGGCACATGTAGACGTACATGATTTTGTCTGGGGAAGCCTCTCAGAAGCCCGTTGGGGCCCTCTTGGGGGTCTCCTGGGGGCTTCCTGCGAACCTCGGGGTGCCTCTTGGAAGCCTCTTGGGGGGGCCTCTGGAAGCCCTTGGGGGCCTGCCGCGGGCGTCTTGGGGGCCTCTTTGGGCCTCTTGGGAGTCTCTTAGGGGCCTCTTGGGGGCCTCCTGGGGCGGGGGGGCTGGAAGGTTCAGTTGGGTGTCCCCTCTTGGGCCCCTCTTGGGGCCCTTCGGGGACGCGTTTGGGCCGTCCTGGGCGCCTCTTGGACTGTCCGGGGCCCCTCTGGGGCCGTCTTGGGGCTCTCTTGTGGGCTTCGTGGGCCGTCTTGGGGCGGTCTATGGAGAGTCGGAGGTCGTAAAGGACGGTACGAACGCCAAAAAATCGAATATGTTAAAAATGTACGTTTTACGACGGGCGCGGGGCTATTTTTGCTTCCCAGGGCCGTCTGGGGGGATCTCTTGGAGGGGTCTTCGAGCGTCTTGGAGGCGTCTGGGGCGGTCTGGGGCGGTTCGAGACGCCTCTTGAGCCGCCGGAGACCGCTGGAGGTTGTCTTCAGGGTGGCTGCGGGCGGCCTGAAGCCGCCTGGACGGCCGTCTGGGCGCTCCGGGGGGCGACCTGGGGCCCGCCGGGGAGCGGGCTGGGCCCGACGTCCCCCCGTTTGCGGTCGGGGCTGCGGCCCCGGGGCCCCCGGGCCCGGTGCGGCGTTATAACTTTATCTATATATATATATATATATATATATATATATACATACATACATATATATAAAAGGTATTTCCCATAGGAATGGCACGATTTTTGTTTCTTGGACCTCTCTTGGGGTGCCTCTCGGAACGTCTTGGGGTGCTTTTGGGAGCCTTTTGGCGCCTCTTGGCGGCATTTTGGCGCCTCCTGGAGCCTCTTGGGCCGGAAGCTCGGAATTCAAGGTTGGCTTTCTCCATCTGGGACCCCTCTCGAACTCGTCTTGGGGCTCTCTTCGGCCGTCTTGGGGCCGTCCTGGGCCACTCGTGCGCAGCCTTGGAGCGCTCCCGGAGGCCTCGTAGACCGTCTTGGGCGCCTCTTGGGCCGTCTTGGACGCGGTGAAAGCCCAAGAGGCGAACATGCGAAAAAATATACTTTTTGGGCCTCTCTGGGCTGCCTCTCTTGGGCTGCCCAGAGAGGCCCGATTTTTGCTTCTTGGGCCTCTCTTGGGCTGCCTCTCGGAGCGTCTTGGAGGCTTCTGGGACCTTCTTGGTGTCATGACAGGCGTCTTGGAAGGCATCTGGAGCCATCGGAGCGCGTTCCGAAGCCGCCTGCGAACGATCTTGGACGGCGTCCGGCGGTCCGACGAGCCTCTGGGCCCCCCGGGGCCCACATTTGCGGTCGGGGTCCCGGCCCCGGGCCCACGGACCCGGTGCGCCGTAATATTTATGTATGTATGTATGTATGTATGCGTATATATATATATTACATATGTATATATATATATACATATATATATATATATATATATATATATATAAATATATATATATATATATGCGCAGCCCCCCCCCCAGCACCCATTGATTTTGCATCGATCGTTGACCTCGACGTCTTGCCATCATTCATTTCTCTTCCCCCCATCGCCTTCCCTGTCTTGATCCCTCGCTCTTCCTCTTCATGCTTCCCTCCCCCATCCACGTCTTCTTCACCTTCATGCCTTTTCCCCCTAAGCGTCGCAATACCTGGGAGGAGGAGGAGGAGGAGGAGGAGGAGGAGGAGGAAGAGGACGAGGAAGATGAGACACCTGCGGGTCGCGGGGCCCATGGGTGCCACGGAGGGCCCATCGACGTCCTATACTCCTTCATGCTTATTCCTCCCATCTTCCTCCCTGTCTTGATTCCTCCCTCTTCCTCGCCTTCTTCTTGCGCCCCTCGCTCTCCATCCCAATCCCCCTCATCGCACCCCCTGCGATCCTCCACGTTCCTTCTGCTATCGTAGCCCCCTCTTGGCTCAAGTTGCCCGCTTCTTGCCATCGTGCCTTCGTCGTCGACGGATGCGCTCGAGCGCAAGCGCGTCAACAACATGAACAGAGCCCGCATGAAGGCATTGAAGGCGTTCCTGAGCAAGCCTTGGGTTAAACAGAAGCTGCACGATGCGCTCAACGAGTTCAAAAATGCATCGTGCAAGCGCCTGTGCGACGCAGTGGCCGACGTTTCCCTCCAGAGCAACAAGCTTTGCGACGAGCTGCGCGAGAAGATCAGGAAGCTCAGGGGGCAGCTCTCTAAAGATACCCAGAAGGCACAGGACCAGGGCGAGCAGGTCAAGCAGCTGCAGAAGGAGAACCAGCGGCTCGCGAAGGAGAACAAGCAGCAGGGGGAGCTCCTCGAGAAGCAGCAGGCTGAGCTTGACAAAGCCCAGGCTGCGCTTAAGGTTTTCCGCACGAAACAGGGCCGCTTCCTCCACTGGGCTACTCGCAAAGACAGGAAGCGGTGGGCCTGGCTCACCATGGACCCAGCGAAGTGGGTCTCGAGGGGGAATTTATCCCTTCGGGATGGCTGCATGGGCATGCAGTAAGGCATGCGCCCACGACCCCCCCTGCGCGGGGCTGCTAACGAGAGACGCACACACGCACACACACACACGCGCACAGACGCACACAGACACACACAGACACACACAGACACACACAGACACACACAGACACACACAGACACACACAGACACACACAGACACACACAGACACACACAGACACACACAGACACACACAGACACACACAGACACACACAGTCACACACAGACACACACAGACACACACAGACACACACAGACACACACAGACACACACAGACACACACAGACACACACACACACACACACACACACACACGCACACACGCACACACACACACACACACACACACACACGCACACACACACACACACGCACGCACACACACACATGCTGACGCATTGTGCCGCCTGGCGGGCGCGGCCCCCGTTTCGATCGATTCGCATGGTATCGCGTGCAGCGGTCGCGTGACGGGCCACGACCGTCTCGAAATGCTACGTTGTGTTGGCCCTGGCAAACCTTAGGGGGATCTTAAACAAGATCCCCCTAGTCGGGGGATCTTGAATAATATTCCCCTATTCGTGGGGTTCAAACACGATGGCGCTCGGCCGTCGAAACTGCCCGCCTTCCGCCCTCTCTCCCCGCCGCAGGCACACTGGCTCAAGCTCGCTGCCTTCTCCTCCAGGCCAGCCAGGAGTCTCCTGTGATGGCGAACGTTCAGGCAATGGGGATGACCTCCCTTGGCAAGGCCATGGAGCGCCCGAACCGCACCGAAGACGTCCTCCACCGCACGTTCGCGGTTGCGAATGCGAAGAAGCCCGCCGTGGCGCTCGCGGAATCGATGATGGTCGGCCCAATCGACAGGCCAGGCAGCTCGACCGTGTGGGACTTGCCCATCAAGCACTGGGAAGGCCGAACCCAGAAGACAACCAGCTACGTCGTTGACGTAGTCTCGTCCCCAGGAGATCTGTCCGCTGTCGACTGGGGCTCGGTCAAGGAAATGATGTCGAAGGGGGGCTACAACAGCCTGCCGCCGCCACTGGGGTTCCCCACGAAGACAGAGATCCCGATGTTCCTCAACCTTCACGTGTCGAAGCCCGCGGGCGAAGATTACATCGTGGTGAAGTTCATATCATTCCTCAACAGGGAGAAGTTCAGCGTCATCCAGCAGCAGCTGATCGTTGGCGAGCCCTACGTCCCCGACTGGGCCCGCGACCGTCACACGACGCTGAAAACGATGCACTTGCTGTTCGACAACATGGGCGGCATCTTGTTCAAGTACTGGGAGTTCGCGGCGCCAGTCGCGGCGCCAGCGGCCGTCGCGCCTGGTGACGAGGACGGCGTGGAGGAGAAGAAGAGGAAACTGCGCGTGGGCTTCGACTTCATCATGGCAGAGGCGCCGCGCGGGAATTTTGATTGCGAGCAAATGCTGTGGGTCGAGCATCAGCTCGTCAATCCAGACAGCCCCGTCCACCACTTCAGGCGCGAGCTCATTGACAGGGTGCTCAAGAAGATCCAGGACAGGGACCACTTTGCTGTCAAAGAGACGTATTACCCGTGCCTGCTTCATGATATTCGCCCAGAGTATCTGGACATCGCAAAGCGCATCATCAAGACGCTGTTGACGAACACATTGCTCACAATTGGCGAGGCCAAGTTTGGCAAGACACCTCTCATGTACATCCTGGCAATGGCCATCGCGCGCTGGCACGCCGACATGGAGAAGGCGCGGGGCAACGAGGTCGTCGCGGCGGTGCGGGTGTCGGCCGAGATGGACTTCTTCCGCGGGGAGGTCGGGGAGAAATGGGCCCTTGCATATTCGACGACGGGGACCTCTCCGACCAGCGGCCCCGCGTGCTCAAGGTGCGGGCGGGGAAAAAGCTGGTTGTGGCCGCGTTGCTCGACGCTGGTGTTATCCCGCGCGCGTCCTGCGCGGTGCGAGATACCTCCATCGATCGGGGGACCTGCGCAGCCTCTTTTCCCCTTCCGCCGCAGGCGTTCTTCGACCCGACACAGATGCAGGCGATGACCTATGTCAGGTGGGGCGCGGCCAAGTTCGTGCGGGGCCAGGCGAGGTTCGGCGGGGAAAACGAGTACAATGCGTCCGCAGAGCCGTCGCTCGAAGACTGGGCATTCGCCGTCACCGGTAGCGACAATGCGAAGAAGACGACGCAGTTCCTCATCGACATGATACTGCCTGCCTTCCCCAAGCACTTCTCCAGCAGTCAGATCGGGGCGATGCTGAAGCGGTGCAACATCCTGCTGAACACGAAGACCGCTCTGTACTTCCGCCCAGCTGGCCAGGGTAGCGCTGTCGAGAAGCACCCGCTGTACGAGGGGCACTTGAAACCAGATGCAGGCAAGGTTCTCTGGGCGTACCTGCAGGACTCCAGCGTTCGCCGCGATGCCGAGGAGTTCGGCCGTCTGCTCCCGTTCGAGAAGAAGGACATTGCCAAGCTCATGGCGAAGCACATGAAGTCTGCCCGCGCCGCCGCCGCGGCGCTTGAGTACGCAGCCGAGAAGGGCGATGCGGATGCGGAGGCGGCCGCGGGCGCGCCGGCGGTGCCCAGCCCCCCAGATGATTTCGACGGGCATGACTTCTTCGGCGACGCCCCTGAGGCTGCTCCAGTTGTGCCGCGCACGCCAGAGGCGGCTCCGACCAAGCGCATCAAGCTGGAGCCTGGCGTCTGGAAGAACCTGAAGATCCAGCCAGGCGCCTGCATCGACCTCAGCACCCCTTCGCCTAAGAAGCGCGCTATGACGCTGGAGAGGCAGCTCGAGCAGATCCTGGATGAGGAGGGGCAGAGGGGTGCCGCATCGTCTGCGAGCAGCGGGGCCCAGGCTGCGTGAGCGTGAGGCTCAGGCTGCGTGAGCGCCTGGTCAGCAGAACACGGGCAGCGCGCGCGCGTGTGTCTCGGGCGTAGGCGCACGCATGCGGCCGCGGTCGCAGCCGCGCTAATTCGCCCCAGATGGGGCGCCTGCGTGCCGCGCTGCCCGTTCCGAATTCGCGCTGTGTCGCTCTCATGCGTGCAACTGCCTTGCAAAGCGCCGCAGACCGCGCGACGGTTTCGGGCGCATCCCGTTGCGCCCCAGATGAGGCCGTCGTGCGCCGCTCTGTTGTCAGCTTTCATGATTGCAGCGACGTCTGGAGAAAGATAATAAATACGGAGCGCGTCTGCGGGGGTTGCATTCCTTGCGCGGCCGTGGGCCAGGCATGCGTCGTAGCAGCGTTTGGCTATCAGGTCAGAGCGCGCGGTCCGCCCCCCTCGCGCGACCGCGAGCGATGTCTCGGTTCTTCCCGCTTCCCAAGAGGGGCAAGGCCCGCGCAGCCATGGCGCCGTCGCGCCCTCGCATGAAGGCAATGAAGACGCCCATGAATGCAATGAAGGCGCCTGCGAAGGGCCGCGCCGTCAAGAAGACCATCGGCAAGAAGGTTGCCCCACCAAAGACTGCGCCTTACATTCGGCACGGCGCCGCGGCCCTTGCGAGGGGTCGCAAGGACAGGGCTGCGTGGGCGAGCTGCATCAAGGACTTCGTCAATCGTTCTGAGAAGTTCGTGATTGACAAGCTGCGCAGAGAGAGCATCGTGCCGAAGTGGGAGGGGGCGACGTGCCCTCACTGCGGCGAGGGCGTCTTGGGGCCTCTGAAGGACCACGGGGAGAAGAAGGGCGGGCGGGGGCACCGTTGCAGCCGCGATTGGTGCACTCGCCACGTGGCGCCGCACGATTTCCATCCCATTTTCTGCAAGGGCACGGGCCAGTCGTTCTCGTCTCTGGCAGACCAGTCCGCCATCCTCTTCTGCGCGGTCGCAGGCTGTCCACAGACGACCACGCGCCTCCTCGTGCGGAGGAACCACAAGGCCGTCGAGAACATCTACAACTCGCTCCACGCTGCGCGCGCCGCGCACGTGCGCGCCACTGAGCCGAAGATCAAGTTCGGCGAGGGCGCGGAGTGGCCAGACGTCGAAGCAGACGAGGTGGACCTTGGCAAGATGGAGGGCCCCGACGCGGGGCCCCGCACTGCGGCCCCCATCATTTGGGAGCAGTGGGGCGGGATCGTGCAGCGTGGCGCCCCCGAGTCTCTTGTGCTGTTCCGCCTCCAGCCGAAGAAGACCAAGCGTCGGGCCCCAGGCCCTGGGCCCATCCGCAAGGCGGATTGGGCGCCCCTCTCGAAGAAGTGGCTGAAGAACAGGAACGTCATCTTCCACACGGACGGCGCGCGGTCTTATAAGCTGAAGGAGCAGGGCGTCGTCCACGATTGGGTCGTCCACAAGAAAAGAAGGCCAAAGTGAAGGGCAAGTGGGTATGGCTTAAGCCGTCGTACAGCAAGAAGCGGTACCACGACGTCCCCGACCCGCTGAAGGCTGGCGCCAAGAAGAGGATCTGGGTCAAGACTGGCACGCAGATCATCGACGGAGTCTGGCGCGAGCTCCGCCGTTTCGTCGGCAAGAACAAGGCCGTCGGCTCCGCGCACCTCATGCAGAAGGTCCGCAGCTTCCAGCGGGCGCACTGGAACCGCGGCAAGGACCTCTGGCACGAGACGGGCGCCATGCTGCAGGAGGCCTGGAGCAAGAAGCACGGCTGGTGAGCGATGGCTCAGGTCGCGCGCGCGTGCCCGCGCGGAGTCGCCGTGCATGGCGTTGGCGCGAGCGGCGTGGCACTATGATGTTTGCTTTAGCAAGCGCCCCCAGGGATCTGCCTAGCCTTGCTGCTGCCGCTGCTGCTCCCCGTGATCCTCCGCCCTCTGCGATTGCGAACGATGGCCTCATATATATTCCTCATATTGCCCTGTGCAATACTGTTTCTAGTATTCGCGCCGCATCTCCCATGCAGCCGCTCAGTTCGTTGCCGCGTCACTGTGTGTAGTGCGCATGCTTTTCCCTGCGTGGCATGCTGCAGCGTGCCCCGATTCCTTCTCTTAGTTGTCCTCAGCCTTCTCCCCCTCCTCCCCCTCCTCCGCCTCCCCCCCCCCCTCCTCCTCCTCTTCGTCTGCCTCGCCCTTCCCGTCCGCCTCCTCCGGGGCCCAAGAGGCACCGAACCGTGTGATTTCATTGGGATGCTTGGGATTTCTGGGATGAGAAACCCAGAAACCGTGTCATTTCACAGGGATGCTTGGGATTCCTGGGAGTCTCCACCCTCCGACACAATTCCACCCTGAAGCTCCCCAGGATTCCGAATCCCAAGCATCCCTGTGACTTCACAGGGATGCATGGGATTCGCGGCCTTGGGGAGGGGGGGGGGGGCCCTGGGTAGATTATTGTCGGAAGTAGGAAATCCCAAGAATCCCAAGCATCCCTGAAATCATAGGGTTTGTGGGATTACCCAGAAATCCCAAGCATCCCTGTGAAATCACAGGGTTCGGTGCCTCTTGGGCCCACTGTGCGTGCAGAATGCTCGCCGCAAGCTCAGGGTTCCCTCATTCGGGGGAAGGCGCCGCGTGCATGTTCTACAGTGCGCCGCCGTTAGGCGTTGGCCAGCCTTGCGGCCAGAGCGCGCGCGAGTGGAGTCGAAAAAACGCCCCCGCTGACGCCAGGGGAAGATGTAAGCGAGGAAGGGGAGGGAAAGGAAGGGGAGTGAAAGAAGGAAGGGAAAGGAAAGGAAGAGGAGTGTAGAACATCGCCAAGAGAAAGAAGGCGACGAATGGGTGCTGGGGGGGGGGGCTGTCCACATATATATATATATATATATATGTATAGTACCATACGTAAGACATGTAGGATTGTGTACACAGGAGATGGACAATCTATAGAAACATACGTACGTCGTCCAGGGCGCCTCGGAAGGCGCCTCGGAAAGCGCAGAATTCCCCTCCAAGGCGCGGAATCATGTTCCCGGACCGCCTTCCGGGGACATGACGGGGACGACCTCCTGAGGGCCTCCAGTGGGCCTCTTGGGGGCCTCTCGGAAGCCTGTTCGGCTCTCCTGGAGGCGTCTTGGGGCGCGTTCAGGGCCATTTTTGAAAGTCTTGGGGGCATCTGGGGGCCTCCGGGGAAGCTCTTTGGGGCCTCTTTGGGGCCTCTTGGGGCCTCGCGGGGCCCTCTTGGGGACCGCTGGGCTCGCTTTGGCAGTCTTGAAGCCCTGTCGGGGCTCTCCTGGAACCGTCTTGGGCGGCTCCTGGGCCATCTTGGGGCTCTCCTGGGCCGTCTTGGGACGATTTTGGGGGTCTCTTGGGCCGTCTTGGGTCGGTCTTGGGGGCCTCTTCGGCCGCCGTGGAGCGGTTTTGGGAGACTCTTGGACGGTCTTGGAGCGTCGGAACTCCGAAAAAGTGAGAATGCCAAAAACCAGCGATTTTGGCTTGTCGGGGCTCTCTTGGGAGGCCTCTTGGGATGCCTTCGGGGCCTCATGGAGCTCTCTTGGAACGTCTTCGGGCCTTCCTGGCCATCCCTGAGGCTATGTATGCGCGTCTTGGAGCGCTCGCGGGCCGTCTTGGGCGGTTTCGAACTGTTCCTGGCGGTCCCAGGGGCCCTCCGGGACGCTTCGGACGCTCCCGGGGGTGCCCTGCACGCCCCGTGGAGATGACAGGCACCGCCCCGGGGCCCTACTCCGAACATCCGCAAGGGGCCCAGCCCTGGCACCGGAGGGCGCCCATGGCTTTCAGGCATGCGGGCGCCATGTTTTCCATGGCGGCTCGATCGGAGTCCAAGAAACCAGGGTGCCCTGGAGTGAAGCTGATGATTTCTTGGAAGGGGCCCCCCACTGTAGTCCCCGGCGCCCCCTCCCCCTCCTCCTCCGCTCATTCCTCCTCCTCCTCATCCATCTGCTGCTTCTCCTCCATCCCCCTCCTGAAGGGTAGGAGGAGGATGGGGGAAGAAGGGGGAAAGGAGGAGGAGGAAGAGGCCCCCAACGAGATCCCCCCCCCCCCCCCAGTTTTTTATGAGAAAGACTCCATCGCGTCTACCCCTTATTCGCCTCCCCGTCTCCCCCTCCTAACCAGGCTTCCCATCCTCCGTGTTGTTCGCTCCATCCTCCTGTTCCTCCTCCTCCTCCTCCTCCGCCGGCCCCTCCTTCTCCTCGTCCTCCTCGCCCCCCCCTCGCTGCGAAACCGATCGCGTTCCGGAAGAGCCTTGCCGGAACGCGGTCAGTAGGAGGCGCGAGTCTGCTGGACTCCTGGATCGGCGCCTCACCCTCACGCTGCGGCCTCCGAGACCGAGTTCGCGAAATCCCATGCAATCGCGGAATCCCTGGAGCCGTTTTGGCACCCTTGCGGGCTCGCCTGAAACCTGGTGGAACCGTCGGGGGAGTGGCCCTGGAGCTCTGTCGGCGGCGTCTGCAGCCGGAGGCGCTGGATGCCGCCCTCCTCATCTTCCCCCTCCTCCTCCTCCTCCTCAGCTGCGTCGTGCTTCTCCTCCACGTCGTCCTCCTCGCGCCCCCCTCGCCCCGACGCCGATCGCGTTCCGGAGGAGTCTTGCCGGAACGCGGCCGGCAAGGGCGCCGCCCAAAGCACCGCGTTCCCGGAGGGGAGCAGGAGGAGGAGCAGGAGGAGGGGAGGGGGAGGGTGGGGGGGGGGGGAGGAGGAGGAGGAGGAGGATAATGCAGATGAATGATGATGGATGATGATCTTGGTGGTGATGATGTTGAAACGATGATGATGCTGGATCGGATGTAAGATGATGAATGGCTTGATGAAATGCATGATGATATGATTTTAAGGAAGGGGCGAGGAGGAGCAGGATGAGGGAAGTTGACAACAGGCGGAAGCAGAGGAGAGGAGGGCGAGGGAGGAAAGGAGAAAATGCAAACCAGAGCGAGGGAGTGGGGGGAGGAGGAGCAGGGAGGAGGCAGCACGGATAGGAGGACGGAGGATGAGGAGGGAAGTAGGAAAGGAGGGAAGAAGCGCGGGGCCCAAGACGG